CCCAATGTTCCCTGCCTCCTGGTGTTCCTTTCTCCTGATATGAACATCCTCCTCTCCATCTTAAATTGGGATAACCTTTGTAACCAGTACAATATCAAAGAAATAACAGTTTCTCACTTGAAAGGCTGGGACATTAAAGAGATTGTGACTTCCTACTATGTCTTTTTGGATAGTTTGCTGTAGAGGAAGCCAGATGCCACGTGTGAGAATAAGCAAGTAGCTTAATGGATAGATTAAGATGGTGAGAAACTAAAACCTCTTGCCAAAGACCAGCACTAATTTGTCAACATGTGAGTGGGTTACTTCGAAATCTACCAGTCAAGTCTGTTGCTGACTGCAGCTGTGGCTGACAAATTGACAGCAACCTGATGAGAAACCTGGAGCCAGAACCAGCCAGAGAAGCCATCCTCCAATTCCTGACTCACAGAAATGGTGTGAGAGAATAAATATGTAATATTTTACGTTGCTGAGTTTTGAGGCAATTTGTTACACAGCAATGATAACCAACGTAGAGATGCAGTAAGAGATGATGTAAAATATGGTCATAAGTGTGATGTATGATGTCTATCAGCTGTATAAAACAAAAATAATATTTTTCAGGGTTAAAATATACATACAGGTAAAACATATGATAATAATAGCACAAAAGTCAACAGGAAGTTCAGTGGGTTTGAAGTATTGAACGGTGCTTGAATTGTCCATGAAAGTAAAAGTGCTTATTTATATGAGGTATATATTTCTGGTAGAATAAAGGGAGTGATTCTTTTTTCTCTCTTTTGTTTTTCTGGCTTGACAATGAGTGACGTAGAAAAATAGTTTCATCGAGGTAAAATTAACATAGAATAAATTGCATATATTTAAAGCACACAACTTGACAAGTTCTGATATATGTACATACTTGTGAATGAATCTCTATAATCAACATAGTCAGTGTATCCACATAAATGTTGAATATTGTCATGTCCTCTTGAGTAACAGACCTCTTTGTCGTTTCAAAATGATCTTCTTTATCCTTGGTAATATTTTTGGCTCTGAAATCAACTTCATCTGATATTAAAGTAACCACTCCATTTTTTAGTCTAGTGTTAGAATGGTTAATTCTTAATCTATTTGTATCTTGCTATTTGTTTTCCATTTGTCCCATCTATTCTTTCTTGTTCTCTTTCTTTTGGAGTTTGTAGTATATGTCTTTACCTTACCATATTCTACCATCACTACCTATCCCACATTAGCATCTTTCAACAATATATTCCACTTCTACCCCTTCTGAACTTTATGCAATTTTTATCATGCATTTTACTTATATACATGTTATAAACCCCACAACACACTGTAATAATTTTTAAATACATAGTTCAAGTAAATTTTAAGGAGATTCAAATCATAAGGAAAAAATCTTATAAATGTACCCATGTAGTTACCTTTTCCAGTGCTATTTATATTTTCATCTGCTATCATTTTCATTTTGCCTGGAGGACTTCTCCCAGTATTCTCATAGTGTGGAACTAGTAATAATGCATTCTTTCAGATTTGGTATGTTTTAAAATTATTTATTCCACATTTGATTTTGAAATATCATTTTTATGAGCATAGAATTTTTTTTTTGAGGAAGATTAGCCCTGAGCTAACTACTGCCAATCCTCCTCTTTCTGCTGAGGAGGACTGGCCCTGAGCTAACATCCATGACCATCTTCCTCTACTTTATACATGGGATGTCTACCACAGCATGGCTTGCTAAGTGAGTGCCATGTCCGCACCCGGGATCCGAGCCGATGAACCCCAGGCCTCTGAGAAGCGGAATGAGCCAACTTAACGGCTACACCACCGGGCAAGCCCCCTGGGCATAGAATTTTTGATTGACAGTTGTTTGACAGCAATTCCAAGATGTTGTTCCACTGTTTCCCGGCTTGCATTATTGCCAAAGAGAAATCTGCTGAATTCCGTATCTTTGGATGTAATATGTTATTTTTCTTGGTACAGTCAAGACATTCTTATCATTGTCTTTGACAATTTGATTATTATGATTAGCTTTGGTGCATTTTTCATTATTTCCCTTGTGCTTGCAGTTCATTGAGTTTCCTGGATCTGTTAATTTATAATTTTCCTCAAATTCATAATATTTTTGGCTATTATTTCTTCAAATATTTTTCTGTTTCTGACTCTCCTCCATCTTCAGGACTCCAGTTAAACGTATACTAGCCACTTGAAACTGTCCTATCACTCACTGATGAACTTACCGTTTTTTGGATTCTTTTTTTTCCCTTCTGTTTCATGTTAAATAGTTTCTATTGTTATGTCTTCATGTTTACTAATCTATTGTTCCCATCATCTATGACTAATTCCACCCAGTTTTTTATATCATCTTTTATCATCTCTGAGAATTCCATCCAGTTTTTCATATGACACACTGTAGTTTTCATCTCTAGTGGTTCACTTTAACTCTCTTTTTAAATATCTTCTATGTCTCTACTCAGCTTTGAACCTCGGTAATACAATTACAATAATTTTTAATGTTCTTTCCTGCATATTCTAATATTTTGCCAGTTCTGGATTGGTTAAATTGATTAATTTTTCTGCTCAAGATGTGTCATATTCCTGCGTTTTTGTATGACTGCTAACCTTTCATTGGATACAAGGCCTTAGAGAGTTTTACTTTGTTGCGTGCTTGACATCATGGTACTGCTATAAGTATTCTGAAGCTTTGTTCTTGGACAGAGTTAAATTACTTGGAATAGTTTGATTCTTTTGGGTCTTGCTTTTAAGGTTTCTTTGTTGGGACCAGAGCAATATGTAGTCATAAAGCTAATTATTCCCATTTACTAGGACAAAGTTCCCGTGAATAATTTACTCAGTGTCCTGTAAATCATGAGGTTTTCAAGTCTGGCTGGTGGAAACAGGCACTATTCCTGTCCTTGTGTGAGTGTCAGATACTGCTACCTCCAGTTTCCTTGGAAGGTTCTTTGCTCAGCCTCAGGCAGTTTCCTCATAGACATGCACCAATCCACTCTCTGTTGAATGTTCTAGATGGACTATCGGCAGATAAAGAGAATTCTCTATATCTCTGAAGCTCTTTCTTCTGTGGTGCTCTGCCCTGCAAACTTTAGACTCTTCAGTCTTTCTGGACTTTCAGCTTTGTTTCCTCAACCAGAGAGTCCACTATGCTCTACCTGGGTTCCTCCTCTTTGCGCTGCAGCCTGAAAACTCTCTCACTGCAATAAGCTGGTACACTCATAGGACTCAGCGTGTTTGTTTCCTGTCTCACAGACTGTCCTTCATTTCCTGATGTCCAGTGTCTGGAAATCATTTTTTTCAAAGATAGAAACACACACGCAAGTGGGAGTGTGCATCTCATCCTTTGACCTCTTTGGCCTGGCAGTGAAACTCCCTCTTTTATTGATGCTCGGGACTCGATGTGTCCTGTAAATTCACATCTTAAATGCCAACCCCCATTGTGATGATATTAGGAGGTGGAGCCTTTGGAGGGCGATTGGGTTATGAAAGTGGAGCCCTCATGAATGGTATTGGTGCTGTTATAAAAGAGACTCCAGAGAGTTCCTTCTCCCCTTCCAGCATGTGAGGACACAGCAGGAACGTGACCATATATGAACCTTGTAGTAGGGTTTCATCAGACAATGAATCTGCTGGTGGCTTGATCTTGGGATTCCCAGCCTCTAGAACTGAGAGAAATAAGCCATGCAATTTATGATATTTTTGCTAAGACAATTGATTTTTAAATTTGTAGTTATTCTATTTCTAATTTCTGTCAACTTTAGTGTGGTTCTTTTTAAATCTACAGTGGCACTTTTTTCCAGTTTCTTGTACTGTGTTCACAATGTCAAATTTGTAATTTATTTCTCTAAAGAAGCTCTCATCATTTCATCATTCCCAAATCTGAAGTCTGAACAGACTTTCTTCTTTGTTATTTTTGTTTTTTTCTCGATTATATTCAAATTATCTTATTTCCTTGGTTGCCAAGAATCTTCGATTGCTTGGTGGTATTGGTCCTTGAGAAATTATTTGTGAAGTGTCCTGAGGACTTAGGATAGTGGTACCCTTCTCCAGAGAAGGTTTCATATGGCAGCCATATCAGTAGGAATATCTTAACCCAGTTCCAAGGATGGAGAGTTCCAGACCCATGTAGGCCATAAATACGTGGAGTAAAATCCTTGCAAATCTTGGTCTTCAGCCATAACTTCCTAAGGAAATCTTGTTTGTTTATTTTTTTCTCTCCATTTCTCCAGTGAATACAGAGCTCTCACTTTAGTTGCTCACAACGGTGGGAAGGAAAGCTCCTGGTTTCTCTTTGAATGACACTTACTTTGAGATTAGAGTCCCTCTGGTCCCCGGTTCAAAATAGGGCCCCACATGTGTTTCCATATGAGTGAATTCTGGGCTTGTTTTCTATATCTCTGGCCCTTGCAGGGCCCTAAAACCCACATTCAAGTGTTTTCAGTTTCCTACAAAACTTCAGGATGAAAATGACTTCACAGTTCAGACATTTTCTGGTCACTGATTTTTAAAAAAATTGAGCCCAAATTTCCCCATTTCCTTTTTGTCCTTTCCCTTCTCCTTCCTTCCTATCTTCCTTCCTTTATAGTTTTCTTCCTCAGCATGTGCCATTATTTCATCAGGATTGTAGATATGGGGAAACTAGCCCATCATTTCTGGAAAGTGAACCCATTTAAAAACATTTTTGAGTTCAAAATAGAAGCTCTTCATTAGATCATCTATCAGTTTGTAGATTCGGAGCTTCTACGTTGATCTTAGAGCTTCTCAGTTGACTTCTGCATCTTCTAGTTATACAAGTACACTTTTAGTGATGGTATTTTTGGCTTTTGATTCACTTTAGGTACTTTCACAACCCACCACACGTGCAATTTGCTTCTATCCTCACTGAGTGCTTTGCATAGGCCCTCCCAGCTCAGATCAGCTGTTCAGGTTTTATAAAAGGGGTCAATGCCATCTGAGCTGAGGTGCGTCAGGGAGGCAGAAACAGCAAGATGATGTCACTGACAAAGGTGTTTATGTCTTTGTTGCTCTGGGTCTCAAGTGAGAAATTTAAAAGTTCCTCAGTGCTTTTGGAGGAGTATCATTTTGAAATTTAAAAAGTAATTTTAAGATATAATGAGAAATACTATTTCTAAAATAAACCCAATTATGTGCTGACATGTAATATTATTAAAAAGCACATTTTAGATTCGCATTTCAGTGTGTGTCTGCTAAAGTGTGTGTGTATCATCGTCATCCATTCATGACTGCAGCTGCCTGTGGGGACATCGTGATGACCCAGTCTCCAGGCTCCTTGGCAGTGTCTCCAGGACAGAGGGTCACCATTAGCTGCAAGGCCAGTCAGAGTGTTAGCAACTACTTAGACTGGTACCAGCAAAAACCAGGAGAGGCTCCTATGCTGCTTATCTATGCGGCATCCAGCAGAGCATCTGGGGTCCCCGACAGATTCAGTGGCGGTGGATCTGGGACAGATTTCGCTCTCACCATCAGCAGCCTCCAGGCTGAAGATGTGGCAGTTTATCACTGTCAGCAGCATTATACTAATCCTCCCACAGTGCTTCAAACTTGATCACAAACGTCCTCCCCAAAACCATGGGTCTGTGACTCTTTGCTGCACCAGCTGCTTCCTCCCTACACAGCCCTGAAATGCACATTCCTCTATCTACCTGAGAGGTCACATATCCTGACTTATTCCTTGAAGGTTTTGTAGGGCCCAGGATAAAATTAAGGGAGTTTATTTTTCTGGATCCCCCCTTTTTGGGAGAATATTGGGAAAAAAATGCTGTAAAGATCTCCTAGAGATCAGGAAGTTTTATGTCACAGGAACCTGCGTGTTTCCCATAGACTGATCGCATGATGAAGCCAATAGTGTTTGTCTCTAGCCTCTGGAGAAGGATCCAGTGAATTTTACACCTTGGTGGATCAGTTCTCTCTTCCCTGTGCCTTCTTGACTCTAGAACGTTTCTATTTTAATTCCTTACTCTGCTGGCCCCCTTTCTTTATCTGCAATCAGCCTCCCACTCTGGACCATCCCAGTATTAGACCTTGACCTCTCCTATTCAAAACCTTCCACATAGAAGGTAGCATCCCTCTCTTGCTTTTTCCTTCTGTGGACCTATTTTCAAGCCAACTTTTTCTGGTCAACGTCACCAAAGTTTCTTTTACTCGATCTCCTTTTGTACCACACTTTGTCTTCTTTCTATTTCTTCCAGTAGTACTCAATCTTGTTAAGGCAATTTTCTAATTCTTTAACCCTGTCACTCTAGAAATATATGATAGTGTTCCATATTACCTTGTTTCATCATTTGTCAATTTTCTCTTTAAATCCATCCCTTAGGCATCCAAGTCTAACTTTGTGACTGAAGGAAATAGTGGCTTCAAGTGTGCTACAACTTGAGTCCCTTGGGTAACTTTTAATAACATGCCCATTTCAGTGTAAAAAGGGAAAAACTTGTCATTTCAGTATTATTTGTTCACCTCTTGCTAAAAAACACAGGTTAATGTAATTTAGTTTCAGGAAAGGTCACAGAAAACCTGATCAGTGTACTCTGAGCACTCTTTCCTGCACAGTAGCTTCTCATAATATATTTAAAAATATATTTAAAGTATTGATATTGAGCAATGCATATCATTCATTCTTTTAAGAAACTGTTTTTTTTGAGTCTTTGCTATGTGTTCAGTGCAAAAATTTCAGCTTTCATTTCAGTCGGGGTTGTCAGACAATAAACAATTGCACAGCAAATGCTTACTATGTCATTTTGTAAGTGCTATGAAGAAAAATAAAGCAAGGAAGGGGTAAAAGCTTTCAGGGGTTAAGAGCGAGTAGAAATTTAAAAATGGATAATGTATTACTTAACACTGCCATGTAATGAACCACCCACAAAATGCAGTGGCTTAAAATGGTAGCATTTTCATTAGTGTTATGTTTATGAGTCAGCTGATTAGTTCTGTTAATATGAGCCAGACAGGATTGATCTTGGCTGTTTTGCAAGCTAGTGTTTTTAAAGTCAGCTGACAGGTCAATTGGGTGCTAGTTAATATAGAAAGGCTCACATTTCTTTCATCTCTTTCACTTTACTGTAGTTGGCAGACCATCAGCTGGGGCTGTTTAGGTGACTAAGCTTCATGTCTCTCATCAACCGGCAGACTAATCTCAATTTCCTGTGACAGTTGCCAGGATCACATGAGAGAAAGCAAAATCGCCTAAGGCATCTTGAAGTCTAGACTCAGTACTGCCACAATGTTGCATTTGATGCTGTCTAATGATTAATGCAACTGATCCTATTGAAGGAGAGGGTAAATAGCCCCTACCCCTTACAGGAAGACCTGCAAAGTTATATTGCTAAAAGTATGGATATAAGGAGGTATGGGTGACCCCCTTAAGAATGGGGGATCCGTTTTCGCAATCAGTCTATGATAGGTGGTAATAGAAGGCGTCACTGAGATGGTATAGCTTAATCAAAGTCTTAATGTGGTGAGGAAACGAGCCATAGAAATATCTCCTGGCAATGCAGTTTTAGCTAGAGGAAACAGCAGATTTCTGAGGCAGAAATGAGAACAGATGTTGGAGAAACAGAAGGAAGCCAATGTTGCTAAAGTGGAGTGTGCATGGGGGAGAGTAGTGGAAGTAAAATAAAAGAAATAGTGAGGAGACCACATTTTGTAGAACTTGGTAGACTCCCCTAAGGATTTGGGGTTTATTTTGAATGATGTAGTAAGTGGGATGGTTTTGGATAGAGCAGGACATGATTTGATCTGTAGTTTTACAGGATCTCTCTGTTAGGGGATGATTGCTATCATGGAGGCTAGAGATGATGGCAGATTTGTTCTATGACAGTAGCAGTAGAGGAGGTGAGGAGTGGTATATTTTGAAGATAGAGGTTAGACCATGCGGATAGTTTCAATAAGGCGGGTGAGAGAAAGAGGAGTCTCAAGATGACTGCAAGTGTTTTTCTTTGAGTACGAGAAGGGTGGGGTTTTCTTTATTTACAGAAAACTTTGGGAAGAGTAGTGTGGAGGATGATTGGGAGGTTGATTTTGGACATTTTAAGTTTGAGATGTAAATTAGTCCTCCATGTGTGGTCGTCAAGTACATCATTGGATATATGAGCCCAGAGTTCACGAGAGAGAATTGGACTGGAGACTGAAATATTATAACCAATGGAATGAGAGTAGAATAACATTTCATGAAATAGTTTAATGTATTTATATAGTCTTTGTATTTATCACTTTATGGCTGTACAATATTCTATTTTGTTTACATATCATAGTTTATAAATTTATGCTGTTAATGCTGGCCATTTAAGTAGCAATTTTTTAGTATTTTTTTCTATTATAACACACTGAATTAATAAAATGAAATATCTTTATTGACATTTTCTTAAGATTAATTTCTAAGGCCATGAGGGAATGTAAAAAATTTCCTACTTATATGCATAAATTAATTCTATGTTATAAATTTTATTTGTTCGGGCATAAAGTTTAGATATGGTGATTCTCATTCTACTTTTGAAAGAAAAATCTAAAGCATATAAACTCTATATCTTATATGCTTACTCTCACAATATCCCAAATGTATTGTTGGGGGGCATCATAGTTTAAATTAGAGCTGGAACATATAGAGTCATACAACTACTGAGCTTAAGCCCGGCATTTAACTTAGCTTTGGGAAGGTTGAGGCTGAGAGCAACAGTGTCAGATGTTTCTCTGTGAATCTCTTGTTATAATGATGAGAACATTTTGAATCTCCCAGTTAAATACTTCCCCTGAATCATATTCTGCATGGAATGAATGACAAGAGAGTGTAGGAAATCGTTACGTGGAAGTATCAAGAGGATGAGCCTGGTCTCACAGTTATACCAGCAAGTACAGTCATCCATTTTTTGGGATTTCTAACATCTTGGTAATGTGAAAAGAGCCTTTGAGAACGTTCATCCTAGAAAAATGTGTTTCAGTGGAAAGAGGGCCCTTAGGAGCTATTAAATGTCCTGAGCTGTCTTCAGAAAACATTATTGTTGGGCACAGGTTGAAAAGTATCAATAAAATATATTGAGAATGTTTACTATTCAGGCCAATATATGGTTGATTAACTCAGGTAAGAGTCAGTGAGGAGATTGGAATTGCCTGGTGTTCTGCTTTTTGTTATGATGGAGAAGGTTTTTCACATCAATGCTCCTGTTTAAAATTACTAGGCAGTGAAGAATCTCCAAGATTTTGGAAGGAAGAAAACTTACAGAGGTGAACCCAATATTTGAGGCCACTTTCCCACTGGAATATCTCCCAAGCCCAAAAAAAGCACCTGAGAGGCAGAGAAGCTGAACAGAGCTTTGACAATGTTGTGAGACTAGATGGACAAAAAATTGGAGTTTCGATTTTGTCAAGGAAGAGGAGCCTAAAAAACAATTCCAAAGGGTTTTGTGCTAGGAGTAAGGGTAAATGAGAAATATATCAGCCCTTGATGAGACTGAAGACAACCTTTGAATTGTCTAAATTCCTAAAATTGACTTAAAATAATATAGGACTGTTAACACTCCTAATGGCTGCCAAGATCTGAAAGATAATAACATCTCAGCTTCCAATTATTTATATATTTTAATATAAAATGTCCAGGAATAAATAAAAAATAACTAGGTGCATGAGAAAGCAAGATCATGTGATTAAAAACTAAGAGAAATGAAATATAATAAAGTATTGGATTCAGATAATGGAGGAGTTAATTTAAAATCATAGTATATTTAAGTCTTCAAGAGATGAAAGAGAAGGCTAATACTTTCATCAGACAACTGGAAACAAAAACAAAGAACAAAATGGAACTTCCTTCTCTAAAACAATTAGCGTAGTATTGATTTAATTCACTGAAGGCAAGTAAAATAAACATTTGAATGAAAATATATAATACAATTATACTAGTAAGTCTTTAGGAAGATATTGATTATGTGGCACATTTTCCATCACACCAGTTTGCTCTCACCTTCTCTCTGAAAATCTCTTCAGAGTGGGTGTTATTGACACGATGTCAGCTCACATGTCTTTCGCTTTTATTATCTGTGTTTATACTTTCTGTTCTTGCCTAATTATGGGCAGAATTTACCTTTAGAACCAGGACTAGTGTCATGGTGTACTCAATACCTTTGAAACCAGGCCCTCT